ACCCTCTCAAAGCACCAGGGCAGGATGGTATGACTCCTCTCTTCTTTCAAACATTTTGGTCCCTTATTAAGGATGATCTATGTAAAGCTATTTGGAGTTTTTTTTATTCCTGTCAGCTTTTGCAAAATTGGAACCACACACTCATAACTCTCATACCAAAAACTCAAAATCCTGAAACCTTAAGCAATTACAGACCAATAAGCCTTTGTACTGTGACTTATAAAATCATTTCCAAAATTTTGTCAACAAGACTTAAGCCCCACTTGCATCGTTGTATCAGCATGAATCAATCAGCTTTTGTCAAAGACAGGCAGTTACTGGATAATGTCATCATAGCACAAGAAGTAATTCACTTTTTAAACAGGCATAGAACTGGCAAGCATAAATTCATGGCTCTAAAATTGGATATGGAAAAAGCTTTCGACAGAGTTGAATGGAACTGTATTAAGCTAATCCTTCTCAAGTTTGGTTTCCATTCTACTTTTGTTAAATGGGTGTTAGCATGCATCACTTCCACTGCCTTCTCAATTAATTTAAATGGGGATCTTAAAGGATTTATTAAAGCTACAAGGAGAATAAGACAGGGAGACCCTCTGTCCCCATACCTTTTTATTCTTGTTTCAGAGGTTCTCACAAGGCTTATTAAAGCAGAGCAGAGCAGAGGCAGACTTGCAGGGTTGAAAATATCAAAAGAAGGGCCATTCATATCTCATCTTCTCTTTGCAGATGATGCCATAATTTTCACCAAGGCTGAGGTTAATCAAGCTTATACTCTTCTTGATGTGCTTCATAAATATCAATTATTTTCTGGGCAGAAGGTTAATTTATCCAAATCATCTATCTTTTTCAGTAGAAACACACAGGTGGATGTGAGGACTGAAATCTGTCAGATTCTGGATGGCATCAAAGTCCAAACATCCACTAGATATCTTGGCTTACCCCTCCGCATAGGCAAATCAAAGAGAGAATGCTTTAATTTTGTAGTTGAAGCAGTTAGAGCTAAATTGGTGAATTGGAAAAATAGATTTCTCTCCACTGCGGGCAAGGAAATCTTAATTAAATCAGTTATTAATGCCATGCCTATATTCACCATGTCTTGTTTTTATTTACCCAAAGGGGTATGCCAGATGCTGCAGAGTTTAAGTACATCATTCTGGTGGAGTAAAGGTGATGATATGCAACCAGGGCTTTACTGGAAAAATTGGAAGTCACTAACTACACCCAAGCAGGATGGAGGATTGGGTTTTCATGACATCCTCCTATTTAATGAGGCACTCATACTAAAACAAATTTGGAGAATAGCTACAAAGCCTAATCTGTTTGTGAGCAAAGTATTGAAGGGCAAATATTTCCCTGCTAAATCCATTCTTACAGCTGATACACCTCAAAGTGCATCTTGGATGTGGAGGAGCTGGATGAAAGTGCTACAGAAACACAAAGCAGCATTTAGAGTGATTGTTCGAAGTGGCAGAAACACTAGCATATGGAAGGATCCTTGGTTACCAAATCATCTCACTGGATTTCCTTCAATGCAAAATACAAATGTTAGCAGATTCACCTGGGTAAAAGAATTAATTAATGATGATGGCAGGAGTTGGAATGAAGAGATTTTGAAAGACTTATTCAATGCAGAAGACATTGCCAGGATCAAGAGCATTGACACACTTAGCCCTTCAATGAGTGATAAATGGAGCTGCACATATGATAAGAAAGGACTATTCACAGTAGCTTCCACATATTCACACTTGATCCAAAATAAATTGAAAGAGATGGATATGGCAGAGTGCAGCTACAGTGCAAAAATGAACAGAAGAGCAAGGAGAAGAAGCTGGAAACTGCACATCAAGAGTAAAATAAAACACTTTTTGTGGAAATGCTACACAGGAATTCTGCCTGTCAACACAGAATTGAGGAAAAGAGGAATACAAGTAGACACCATTTGTCAGATATGTGGTGAAGATGCAGAGACAATCGAGCATGTTCTTTTGAATTGCAGCAGAGCTAAAATGGTATGGAAATTATCAATGCTCAAATGGGATGGCTTAGAACACCAGACAGACAATTTCAGGAGATGGTGGTGGAATGCATGTGCAGTAGACAAAAGAACTATATCTGAGGAAAGACTCCAATTGTCCACATACATATTATGGTGGCTTTGGAAGTCGAGAAATCTCTTCATCTTTCAAGAGTCTCTAATGCCTGAAGCTCAAGTGGTAACAGCGGCATGGAAGGAGTGGATAGAGTTTGCTCAAGCTCAATCAGAAAAGAAGAAGTAAGAGTTATTTTCAGGGCTAGGTCTCTATGGAGTTCAGTGGCTCACATACATATTTTAAATTTCTCTTATTCTTCTTACCTGAATTGGAAGGAGTAGTAATGATAGATGTGAACTGAGTTGTAATGATAGGTGATATATATGTCTAAGGTTCTAGTCACCCTTGCTTAGATATATTTTGTATTTGTTTAGCAGTGTTTAGGATCCCTGTCTGGGCGACCCTCCATTGAACTATTGGGGCTACTTAGTCCCACGGCTTGTACATTATTGGTTGAATAAAATCTATCGTTTTGGAAAAAAAAAAAAGTATTTAATGGAAGTTTAGCCTTGAATATAAATAACAAAAACACTATATATGGGCTTTGAAAGTTTACCGCCCAAGCCAAGCAATGCTTCCATATTTTGTTGGCTCCGCCCTTGGCTGGAACCCATCAAATACTCATTTTTAGCTCTTGTACCTACTACTTACTCTACATGCACAAAAACTTAGAATAATAAAAAAAACCAAATACATCAACATCAATATCAATATCTTCTTCTTATATATATAAATGTAAGAGAGAAACTACTAGATAATAATACTATAAAAAGCATTCAGCATAAGGTACCTTTATTTTATTTTAACTCTTCCGTTTCTTGGCCATCGAAGCATGAATACCAACAACAATAATTTCTTAGCAAAATATGTGTGTAAATATATAAAGTAACTTGCAGCAGTTCCATAATTTTGCCCACTTGCTTATCATATATGAAAATACCACTTTCTTTTTCCCTACATAGCCATAATTTAATTTTCATGCATTTGCCAAAGCTATAGTAACTTGGCAAAATGTTGATTCAAGACATTTCTGCTATTCGAGGTAAGCTGGTTTTTTTAGTTCAGTTCTAGTTTAGATAAACAAACAAAATAGTTTTGGTCCAAAGTTCCAAACAAAAGAAGAAATAAAAATAGCTACAATCAGGCATCATATATTAAAGCAACAATTGAAACCTTTTTCAACATGAGGTGGAATATTAGCAATAATTTGTCCCTACAGCACACAGTTACAAAAAAAAAAAAAGAAAAAGAAAAGAAAAAATTACAGATTTTGGATTTTGTGGGGGAAAAAGTAAATAATAACATACATTGTAGTGGGAAAAGAAAAAAATGATAAATGTTAGAATAACTTGACATAAATTGCAGGAAAAAGTAAAATTAAATATCTAAACACATAATTAATAACAATAACAATAATATGCTAACTTTGTGTTGGAATTAACAATAATATATCGATTTTGTTTTGAGATTTTTTTTTTTTCATATATTGTATATAAATCTAACTCTGGTGTTAATAAGCAAGCAACTCTCGAAGTCACAAAACAATAACAAATTGAATGGCAGCAATAGAACATAAACTAAAAATAGTCAAAATTTGTTCTAAAGTAGAACCTACAATAATTTTTCAATAATCAATTCTGAAAATTAAAGAATTAATGAACTTAAAAAGACATCCTTCATTATGATAGCGTGAAAATATATTATTTAAAAAAAAAAAAAACTTAGTGTGCAATGACAGTGAAAAAAAATTAAATTGTTCAACAATCATTTTAAATCACAACAGAGTTATTTAATTTTCTAAGGATGAAAAAGGCATCCAATTTCATATATAGAAAATGATCATTTAAACTTAAATTTGGTCTATACTATAAATTCTAAATTTAGAGCCACTACACAATATATAATAAATTGATTGAGCTATTAGTGGAAAAATGTACTCACTTAATTTATTATTTAATGGAAGTTTAGCCTTGAATATAAATAACAAAAACACTATATATGGGCTTTGAAAGTTTACAGCCCAAGCCAAGCAATGGTTCCATATTTTGTTGGCTCCGCCCTTGGCTGTAACCCATCAAATACTCATTTTTAGCTCCTGTACTTACTACTCATTCTATATGCACAAAAACTTACAATAATAAAAAAAACCAAACACATCAATATCAATCTTTTTATAATATCTTCTTCTTATATATATAAACTAGTACAACGTCCGTGTATTACACTGATGCTTGCTAATTTTTTTTCTTAAAATCTAAAATTAATGAAAAAAAAAGTAGTTGAAAATTTAAATACCTCTTATAAAAATAAATATATTATTATATATTTAGTATGACACTTTTATTTGTGCGACTTACATTACATGTGTTATATTATAATAATTTTTTTCTAATGAATTTTAATAAATATTATTATTTTTTATTATTATAAAGATAAATATAATTTATTTATTTCATATATACAGTATGGATGTCAAATCGAAGATCATCAAAAGATGATTAATTTGATATATTATATATGTAAATTTTATTGATATGGTACTATTTCAATATTAAAAAAATACAAAATAAAATTATAATACATCAATAAATAAAAAGTACAAAATTATTTAGTATAAAAAATACATTGCACAAAATTATTTAACATAAAAATACATTTATTAATACACATTATACAAAAATTTGTCATTAATATCACATTAAAAAATTAAAAAATAAATAAGTAGCAGTGTTGCGCCACATCTGGCGCAACACTGTTCACATGTGTTGTAGCACAAGATTTCAGCGCAGTGTTGGAACATATATTTCACGGTACTCCCAAATTCCATGTGTAGTCGCACTTAACTAAGGACACCTTTTAAAAGGGAGTGAAAACAAATTCTTCTACGAATACCTTATAAATTAGTCTAAATTAATCGATCATGTCTGTTACTGGAGCAGGAGTTATCTTGCATACCTCGACACTAAAACCGCAGTCCATTAGAACCAAGAGCCATGCGCGTTGCTGTTCAGAAAGCCTGTCCCTTGGGCCCTTCACCTCCACAAGCTTCGCCTCCCCACTGTAACAGTCATGCAGCCGCCAGAGGAGCAAGTCAGGCATGCCGCTCGACCAGCTCCGGTAGTCCTGCGCCAGGTGTCGGCATATGGACGCGAGGCAGGAGCCGCCTATGCACTTCACGGCCGCCCGAAGGTCGGTCAAAGAGTGCTTCTCCCAGCTGACTCCTCTGCAGGATGTCCCGACATGTGAATCCCATGATGTGATGAGTATTTCCTCCGCCATGCCATCTCGGATTTTTTCGCATTGTGCTTCTATTAGGTTCTTTCGGGTTTGGTAGAAGGCGTCGGTTTCAAGGTCCAATGGTGCAGTCTGAAAATTATACCCTTGAGGTTCAGTTAAATAACAAAAAAAACAAAAAAACCACTCGAACATTAATAAAACTCTTTTTGTTTTCCCGCCTTTTTCAGTTACTTTTGCATTAATCACAATTATATTTTTTACTTGTTTTATTTTATAACTCCGCCTATGTTGTCTCAACATAGCAGGTCCCAAGCTCTGGTAAAAGAGGAGGGTTGTGATAGGCTTGGCGAGCCAACGTAAAACCTAGCCATTCTATGGAGATGAAACACTTGTTTTATTTTATAATTGCTAATTGCTACTATTAACTAATAATGAATACACATTAAATGTTATTATAACCTAGAGCTTTTTTCAAGTTATATATTTACAATTATTATTATTATTTTTTTTCACTTCATTAAGCAATTTTTTTTATTAAAATTAGTTAATTATTTTTTATGGCATAACCATTTATCCTTTACAGTTTTGTACACAATTGCTATAATAATAATTTCACTGATTTTTTATCCAACTAATTGTCATAATCAACCAAGAATGCATAAATTTAAAAATTAATATATAAGTTAAATAGTTTATTTATATGGTCGTTTAAGTAATGATAAATTTATTAATGTGATATGCTCATTATCTAATTTATGAATTTTTACATTTTACTTAAAACACACGTAGATATAACGTATAAAATTTTATTTGCATTTGTACATATACACAAGATAGAATACTAGTTGTTTATTATTTTCAGGAATGCGCCTAAGACAGTTTCGACGGACTGAAAGCGTACCTGAAATTTGTTCTGGAAGACATTTGGCACCTCAGCAAAAATCACATCCCACATTAATATACCGAAAATGGTTAGCCAAATGCCACTCTCCGTGTGGAAACCCTGCCAGCCACCGCCTTCCCCATTATAATACTGTAACGCGAGCTGTTCAACCCCACATCGTTCTCCATCTTCACCATAAAATACGCTCTTCATTCCTGTTTTACAATTCAGCGGTCTTCCTTGAACATGAACCTTGTCGCCATTATATTAGCAAAGAAAAAAGGCATGTCATATCAATCAGATGATAGAATGTACAGGGTTGGGACAAGTGAAATGATGATATTCCAAAACTTTTGGCATTTGCATTATATTTTATACCTCGAAAATCTTCCTCTTCATGGATTTGGAGTAGCTGGGTGTTTTCCAGCGCCTGGGAGGTTTCCCTAATCTCAGTACCCGCCTTTGGAGGGCAATTCTTGCACCAGCACGAACCCATGAATCGAGTAAACCATTTTCCGCAACTTGCAGACTATCATCTATACGCCCCAGATGTTCCAGATCAACAGAAAGCCTCAAAGTCCAATATCCTCTTCTTCTATCAGATATAAAAGTGTTCAGCAGCTGTTTGAGTAGATTGATGGCATCAGTGTACCTGTCAAAATGCCAGAATGGCTACTTCAAAGCAGTTGTCGCAAGTCAGCATGCGTGTAGGAGGAAATAACATTTTTTCCTCCAGATGCATGAACTACAGAAAGCAGACATTATTTGAAATAAATCAATATTTGAAATCTTATCAGCTCTATATCTTAATAAGACAATAAAAATAGACTTGACAATCTTTATGACTTCTCATTTGAACACCTTTACCGCTTCTCACGCTCAAGAAAGGAAACACCCAACAGGGCCACTTTAGAGTAGACCCACGAGGCTGAAAAGTGTGATTGAAAGGTGGCCGTTGATTCACCGCCCGACGATTTGTCCTCTTCAAACGAAATTGACATGCGTGAAACAGAAATCTCTATACATCTTAAAATCAACTCGGACTTGTTCTCATCAAGTGATTCAACCATAATTTGTGAAATCTCAATAGCCTGCAAATAATTGCAAATGAGCACCTCGTAAGGAAATATGTTCTTTTGTATTCATTACACACATGAAAATAAAGCTCACCTCTTCATATAATAGCAAGTCGCTCCTATTTAAAAAGATGGGCTCTGAGACTATGCATCTGTAAGCAGGATATTTCACTATGCCTAGATCAACAAGCAAAAATGCTGACAAGTCTTGCTCTCCATTAAGAAAGAAAAGCCTCTGCAAGACAAAACTAAGATTACAATGTGATAAAAAAAAATGGAGTACTTCCTTTAAAAGGAATGGTTTAATGACACATAATCGCAGACTTAAATGCATACATATTTAACGATGACATTGTGTCTGTAAGTCAGTGTAAAAGTGATAAAAGTATTAGCTCCTGCTTGATCTTAAGAAATAATTTCTCGGCTGACTATAAGCTAACTGACCAACGTTAAGCATTTATAAAAGTGACCTCAGCTCGCCATAATAGAGACTCAGCCAACGGAGATACTTTAACACAGGAACCAGTTACTTCCAAAACAGAACTCTGAAGCTCAGGGCTGCAAGAGGTAATAAAAGTTCAATCATATCATGTGAAAGATACAAGCCATGTTTGATAGACATGTCATGAAATGCATATTTTTACCTACCAGCAGCCATCCTTGCCCAGAGATAGAAGCAAATCAATGATCTCTTTCTTTCGGGTACCATGACTGCATTTCTGATATTTCAAAGGAAACAAAGAGACTCAACAGCCACACAGTGATATCACACTTACAAAATTATAGCATTGGTTCTCTTATTTTATACAAGTTCTGATGGATACATTTAGCACAAGTAGAGAATTTTTCAAGGACCCATGTATAAGATGAGCTTCTAAGATGTAATTGGGACTCAAATACTCGTCCAGGGCATATTAATTTATTGCAATTGAGAAAGTACACAAGTAACAAGTAAAAGCGTAACTGAATGACATCTAGGTGAGAAAACTCTCATTGGAGAAACAGCCTACACATAAAGCTGAGAAGTCAACAATAATTCTAATGATGTGGCATGTGGGGAAAAGACAATATGCATTCTTGTGAATATAATTAAGTAAAATGAATGGATAAATAAAATCAGTAAGTTGTGCCAGTGTATCAAAGCATGAACAATTACAAATAACATAATATGGTTCAATATGAGTCTTAGTGGTGATACATTGCAGAAAACATGACCCAAACTACTGCTTTATTTTTCTTTCACCGATTGAAAGTTCGAAAAAACAAATCCTCCATGAAACAAATACTTATTTATACACCCAATCCTGAAAGGGAGCGAGAAACAATTGTTAAGAGTTAACTCAGTAATCACACTTCGTAAGAAATTATCCAAAAGATGAGAATACTCCAGCCTTTCATATGGATGTAAAACACACTAAAACAGCACATAAGATGTCAGAAAAATTCTCGACTGAAAAACTGCTAAGCATTTGTTAAATAGCCTCGAGAATGTAATTGAAATATAATGAGAAATATGTGGCTCGTATCTGTCCACACAGTATGTCTTTTTCTGTGTAGTCATCAGAAGCCAGTATCAATTTAGGAGCACAAACTATGGAATCAAACAAATCTAGAATGAACCATCCGTCATGCTCCATTATGTGCAAACAACCCAAACGAACCAGAAAAAGAAATGTTCCATATGGTGTCATATTTTTGGCGAACTTTGAAGAATAACAATGGTCCAGAGGGTGGAGAAAAGGATTAATCTACTAGGCGGCTCAAGAAGAGAGAGAGACGCTACGAAAGATCATCCACTTATTATTAAACTGAATCATTAGGTACTCAATATCAGGTCACACGGTAGGAAAATATTAAAGCTTAAAAGATAAACATAGAAATGTTGAATAGATAATTCGGTTGAAAAATGCAACTAGATTGTTCAGATCACATACAGAACATTAAACAGGTTGTCCCTCCACAAGTCTCCCACAAAACCACCAACTCGAGATAAAAGGACTTTGTATAATGTCAAGGATCGTGTATCTTTACCATGGCAGAACTTTTCAAGGTAACAGTATAACATTGTCAAAAGCATTAATAAGAAATAACCATCTCCATCCAAATGATCATTGCACTTCATCAAGACATACCAACCAGGATGGGTATTAACTGATGTTATGTTTTAGGATTGATGGATGAAAGAGTTCATTTAGTCAACATATTTGTCTAATTGTCTTTATGCTACAATTTAAGTACTTTAATCAACACATTGAATCCTAAAGGAACATCATAGAACAGACCTTGTTAAGCACTCGCAAAGCTCCCCGTAGCTCATCAACGTTAAGCAGGTTCAAGACCTCCTCTAAGTGATTCTCTTCTAATTCATTCTCTCTCTGGAGCGAAGAAATATATCCTGCATCTATATTGTACGAACATCGCCAAGCAGTTTAAAACATTACGCAGTTAGAATTACTATATTACATGAGCTACTCAGTTACCAAATGTTACCTAAAAGCTTCTTTGCTGCTAGGTGGCAATCAACTATCTCAGGGTATGAAATAGTAGACATCCGAAACCACGGCCCTGAAAAGAGAAATCAACTATCTCAGATACATAATATAGGTCTAAAAATAAAAGTATAGGAGCAAAATTTAGAAAGCTAAAAAAATAATTAATAAAAAAAATAAATAAAAAGAAGCATCTTGAAAGCCCATTGCATTTGAATTGAACACTACAGAACAGAATATAGATTATGGCATCCATCACATTGACAAGGCCAGTTCCTAAGTACAGCTCTGAAGACAAGTCTCATATATACATTGTCCTAACTCCTAATGGCCATTTTAATCAAAGTTTTTCAATATCCAGTATATCAATTATAAGAGACATGGCATATATATTGATAAATAGAAACATAAGGTGATCAAATATTGCAGTGGAATCGCATTTAATTTGGGAAAGTGAAGTTAGTAAATAGATTTAGACGAGAAAAACTTTAGGAGATATATCAATTCAAGAAGAGCAAAGAGGCAATCAATTGAAAGGAAATGAATGTTCCACTCAGGACCTTTGCGTGTATAAAGCCGAGCAAACAGCCTCTTACTATCATCTGGAAGCGACAGAAAAGATTCTGGAAAAGAAGAGACCAAATCACTGAATTAGCAAATAGATAAAATTATACTATTCAACAAGTGCTGTATATGGTACCTAAGAAAGACTTCTCGCTGTCCGTGAAAAGATGTGGATTGCTCTTTAAAACTTCTTGTATAAGCAGTACCAGGTTATTCATTGACCTGGTCATCCCAGAGGGATTAGTCTTCGCAAGATCAACAACACGTAGAACATCTCTCCACAAAGACTTAAAATGTTGAATGTTCTCACTACATATATGATCACATAATTCTATATTTTTGCATGCTATCTGCATCGGAACAGCAGCACGGGAATCTTTTGGCACGGCAGTGATACTACCCTGTACATGTTATGAACTAAAACAAGTGACTATTGACAGACAACACTAGTGAACTGTAAACCATCCACATTTCCAGAATGAAATGAAAAGCATCATACAGATATCCCAAGTAGATTAACACATTTCAACTTAAATAAAACGTGTGGTGAACTCATTACAAAATAAAAGACAGCTGCTAAAAAAAGGAGCCTCATATCTTCGGGTTTTTAAGAATATTAGAACTGACAAAACAACTTTCCATATAACTTCAATGAATACAGGAATTGCAGTCACTGCTGTTGTAAACTGAAGTTTCTCTTCACTGGTGTATTGACATGTGGAGAATCAAAGAAACTGTTCAAAGAATAAAGCATTTCATGTCAACCCAGTTAATAAATGCATAAACATAAATATTTGGTAATAGATGATCCTACTAAAACTTCCATCATACGTCAATGATGCAAACTAGTTAGCAGATAAGCTAGTTTCCTATCAGTAACATGTCTAGTGCTTGCAACCTTGTTGCTGTGGCTCACAAGATGTCAGCAACTAAGCCCAACAAAAGAAATGGCTGTTTGGTTCAAAGAAAGAAACATATTTCATATTCAAAATATGTACTCCACCAAAGAAACTCCTTTACCTCAAAGTTCAAGTGGAACTTGTCCATTAAAGGAGACAGGCATTGAGCCAACTCCCGCGGTATATAACCCAGAACGTTATCATATTCAGAGTCCACATAAAGTACCTGTTCAGGATGCACAATACATTCTCTTACTCAGGAATCAAGTAGAAGCGAAAATTATATAAAGCTGAATAAAATGAAACCTTGATAGCATTTGGATCTTTAACATTCTCAGGGTCTCTACAAAGACAAATCTTTGATTCAGGATCCAACACCTCCGCACTACGATACCTACGGCCAACAATGGAAGTTGAGATAAACACCTTAGATATGTCAAAATCATCCAAACATTCTTCTGGAACATGACTAGTCGTCTCAATGCCCAAAAGTAATGGTGGCGACACAAGCTTATCACCAGAAGAGTCTTTAGCAACCAGAGGTTCTACACAATTTGCGGATGGATTGTTACTATACGACATCGAGTGGAGCTCATTATAATTTTCTTCACAACACTCCAACTCATTTGAATTTTGAGTTGCACCACAAGTGCTTATACGTTTGGGTTCATTCAGGAAAACTTGATTTTGCTTATCAGCTAGCTCACCAGAGCGAATTTTAACTTTGGATCTTGAGAAGTTCAACTGAAGAAGTGTAACCTGGCTGAATTTCCGCTTACTTCTTCTGGAAAGGCAGTCATCTGAAACCATCAAACCATAGTTTGAACATAACTAAAACTATGACAAAAGAGCGTAAAAGGCAATTTAATTATTGACTACTAGCAGCTTCCTCATTTAATAAACAGAAACTTAACTGCAAGTGAACCTCATTTAACATGGCTGCTGAAAGTTAGAAATTACTGCAATAACTATCTTCTGGGACAGAGAAAATCAAAATGAGGACAGGTCCCTTATGCACATACAAACTATT